ATAAATTTTTAAAATTATTACAGTATTTTTGTAATAAAAACAAATAGAATTCCGTTAATTTAGACGAAAAATAGCAAATTGGACAAAATCGGCTAACGGTTGGATAGTTTAGGGTAATATTGGCTAACCAAAAAAGAATAGGGTAGAATTGATGACGCATGTAAAGTTTTAGGTAGATCCGCCAATTTTTCCACTTTATACATACTTAGAAGTATCACTCAACACAAATATTTGATTTCATGCCTAATCAATTAGCCTTTTGACTGCATCACACCACACTCAACAATTCATCATTGCCTTTAATTTCTTCACAACAATATATTTTGGGCATTTTTCATTAAGTGAACATAATAGACCATGAAACGTGGGTTCTCTAACCTCACTCTCATATAAAAGATAATGATTGAAGTTAAAACTGTTTAAACAGATACTTTGACATTTAAGTGCATTACATACCCGTACGAATGCACGGGTCTAAAACCTAATTACCATTACCTGAAAAATGACATCCAAAAACCCCATAAGTGAAAATCATCTATAACTAAGCAACCAGATTAAGTTATTAACAACTGTATACCGGTACATTTATTCTTTTTAGTTTTCTAATGAAAAAATTTTTTTTTACCTTACGCCTCACACATGAATGGACCATCACTTTTTTATTTCTATTGGAAAACCAATAAATATTCAATCAATCACTATGCTTTACTTTCGTGATCATGAACTCCTAACAACAGAATTAAGATAATTTATAAAAGAGCTTATCCATATGAATTAGGTCAGAATACGACTTTCTTGAATTTTTCTACTCATGAAATGTGATAGTTTAGTAGTTTAGTGTTTAACGTTACAAATTTAAAGGTGTGTACAAAATTGTATCCGCCATGAAATTAAACCCTAATCATGTACAACCATAATGATCATACAGAATCTAGTCGAGTAAACACACCACACACAATCTTGTATCTTTCTTGATGATCTTCTTTTTCTTTTGTGAGGATACAAATGTGTTGTGTTGTGTTGTGTTGGTTATCACAAATATATATATATATGTAAATTGCGGAGGAAATAAATTTAAAAGTGTTAATAATTTAAATCTCTCTATCCAATATATATATATATATATAAAGTCAAAAAAATATGATGTTCAATTTATCAATAATTAAATTAATTACATTTTCATTTGTTGAATTAACATAGTATCGCAAATAAAAATATTTTATGTGGTAGAACCATCAATTTTTTAAGCTCGAAACCAACACTATTAAACATGATCACGGATGGTCCATCTCTGCTCACCTAGTAGGCTAGTACGTATGGAGGAGATGTGATCACAAATTGCACTCATATCTTAGAGATAGCGTCTCACCTCTCTTTTTCTTTTGTTGGGAAATTTAAAAAAAAAAAAAGCTTTAAACTTGAAAATGGAACTTTCAACTAGAACTCTAGAAGTCATTGGCAGTACACGCTTTTCTTTCTTTTATTTTATTTTTTTAATTTAGGATTTTTGGAATCATGCATTTTTGTACTTAGACCTCGATTGTTTTAATCGATTCTTAAAACTTATAGTATATTTTTCTTTCTCGATTTTTAAATTAAATGCGATCTTTTTTTTGTAATAAGTGTTTTGGTTAATCGAAAATTATAATAAAAACTAAAAATTACGATACCACCTTGATGAATTATTTGATGTAGCCGATTGTGATTGAACCCTCTACTTAGAATTTCTTGTTGGTTTTAATTTTATATGGAAATAATACGACGTGCATGAAGTTCATTTTTGATATTATGGACATCACGATGGAGGATTGGAATAAGATGAAGGCAAACCTGCGGGCGGGCAGTTTGTTTAATTTGTTTTCTTTTTGGGATGAAATATTGGATCGTCAGCCAATTAATCTTGAAAATACGATTTGATAGAAACGACGATTGATCAGTGAAATGAAATTGAGTGATTTACGTTGCAAATTGTGCGTGTCAGCCAATTAATCGAGTAAAATTGATCTAGAAGATGTTGAACAAAAGAGACGATCATCAGAAGCTAGAAATGGCGATGCCAATGGTTTGGGGAAAATTTTTAAAAAAGGCGTTACAAAATTAAAATTATTCTAAAGGGCAGTGGTATTTTTTTAATTTTCAGCATAAATATTAAAATATTAATTAGACTTTTAATGTTTCAAATGATTGGTTTATCCTTTTCTCACATTTTCCTTTTTTTTCTCTACTTAATCAATGTCCCAGTAAACAACCATAGATTTGAAAGAAACACGATAAGAACTAAACATGCTTCTTCGGAAAACTCTACTTTAGAACATAATAAAGCCCTTAATTCTCTTTTACGAATTTGTCCGCTAAGAAATCTTGGTACTGCACCCATAAAATATATCTTATTGACATTTTTTGTAAAACGTAACCTGTCTAGAAAATAAGCACCAGGGAAGATGAGAATAAAGTTTTGCACAGTCCATCTGCAATCCTCCTTCACCAAATTTTAAGATTTTTATAACTGTAACATAATTATTCATAAGGGCTTTTGAATCTCTAATAATAGTAGTAACTCAAAATATCCTGATCCAACTCATCATAAATTAGAAATTAACAATAGTCTACAAGAATAAATTATTTTTGCTGGCAACTAGACCATAGAATATTGAATTGATCAATATACAAAACCTTTCTTGAAAAGATGTTCGACAAAGTAATCATTGAATCTCTAAACGCTGCTCCACTTATACTAACTTTTATGTATAGTAGTCTGCATAATGATAACATTAATGGCAAAAAAATCATTGAATTTAACTAATTCGAAAGCATCAATATTGTCAATAAAAATCTGATAGCATCTTTTTTTTTTTCCAACGAAAATTTCACACTTAAACCAAAGAAAGGCATTAACAATATTTAAGAAGATTTAGGAGGTGCCTGGTTCAAGTAGAGAATGATGGTTTTCAATGGGTTTCATAGAATAATGATAGTATCGGGTATCAAAGCTAGAATTTAATTGCTTGGTTCAAATATACATTGAAATGGGAATGAACACAAAATGACACTTTTATCCTGCTATCCATGACATCTCCTTCCTCGGCCGTCTGCCGATTCATTTCTCTGCTCGCCGCTCGATTAGAACCTTCTCCTCTGTCAATTCTATGTCCTCGGTCGCCCAACTAAAACACCCATCACTCATCATTTTCTCCTTCATCAAACCACGCATCAACCATCATCAATTTTTCTATCAAATAATTCACAATCATTTTCCACAAAATCCAATATATCCAAATCTTTAATTCTATTTCATTTTCATGCGATAAAAAAGACGCCATAAAATGAAACCAACAGATTAAAATTAAGAAAAAAAAAACCCTTTTCGTTTTCATAGAGTAAGAACCACGGAGGATTGGCTAGCGGTGGATGCGTGAGGTGACCATATTCTTATTGATAAATTGGGATTCTATTGGTGGTAAAAAATTTTCTAAAAATCAGGATTTGTAGTGGTAATATGCTATCCACTCTTCAATCTGGCCTACATATCTGAAATTGAGGAAGAAAGAATTATGAAAAAGAAGAGACCTCTGAGGTAGAGACACAGGAGGCGTGCCGCTATGACAAAGCGTTGGTGAGAGAAAAATACAGAGGTAAAGTGAGGAAATTTTGTTTTATTATGATTAATTTCTCCAAACCCACCAAATTCATGTGGAATGAAAAATTGGGTTTGAAATCCTACCAAACCACTGTGCTGGAATCATTCCTCATCAACCAAGCACCATTAAATGGATTCAAAGGCATATACTCGGAATGAAACCCCCATACCAAGCACCTTCTTAATTGATATAACCAATTGATCGAAATGAAAAATTTACCAATAAACGTTACCATGAATTAACGGCTTCAGACTGGAGGGAAGTTTGTTGAATTCTGGAGGCTGCTAATTGATTCTTCTTGAAAAATAGGGCTTCCATTAAGGTTCATATTTTCACTATTAACATTCCAGAGTTAAGTTTACGAAATCGAAATTGAAACGGAAAAACTAAGAAGAGATACTTCAGGTTGAACCCAAACTCAAGGCTAAATCAAGAACTCCTCAAAAATAGCAGAGCTCTCGTTAATGACTGGTTTAGGGAAAGCTCGGATGAAAACAATGGTGTAATGAAGAATAAAATAATTTTTTAGGCGGACAGAAAACATTATCTGCTAATTAAACAATTTACAAAAAGAATAAGACACACCAATGCTCTTGAGAATAATATTGATCTTTTAAATGCCCTTTTTAATAATTTTCCCTTTACTTTATATTAAGAAGAATGGGAAATGAGCCTTTATTAAAATTTTGAATTTTTTTTTAAAAAAAGTTATCAAAGTTTAAATCCACTAAGATTGTAGCAATCCAATTAAAATTTACATGCAAAATAAGATCGACTAGATCTTCCAACCGAATGCCTTAAGGTGCAAAACTAATCAATTAAAGAGAACAAGAATGTGCGGAAGAGGTACGTAAGTCTTTTTATATAATGAAGGAGGCCTTTTACTAAGTTAGCACACATAAGTTACGTATTATCGTTCTTATTTAATACTTTATTCATTTCGAAATTATTGTTCAATTTAGGTTTTTAGTTTTATTATAAATTGACTGAAACTAAAATTTCAAACTGGACAATAATTTTAGAACGGAAGAAATACTAACATTTAATTACATTAATATATTTTTCTACATAAAAGTAAAGAAAAATATGATCCAAATTATATGCAGTGAGAACAAAAAAGAAAAGCTCGTTGTTAATTTAGAGTTTTATCTAACATTCGCTGTTGATTTTTACATGCTTCGCTACATATTATGTTACATGACGATTATATTATTATAATATACGCTAAATGTAAAAATTGATATTAAGTTGACCAAAACTCTACACACAAACAATCGAAGACCATTCAGTATATTGACTAAAGTTACACTAGTTTAAAAATCATGAAAATTATCTCAAATCAAATTGGTAGATCATTCCCAAATCTATATACATTTGCACTTTGCAGGCTTTCCTTTCAAATATCCAAGTCCAACATTCTCTCTCAATTTTGGTAAAGGAATATTCACACAAAAGTCAGAAGCTGGTCAATACAAAAACAGTGGGTAAGAATAAGAAGTCCATTGTTTAGAGAAACACCCCATTAGGCAAGGCAATTCCAAATTCAACACCGTGAACGCAACCAAACTCAAGAGGTTGAAAAGAAACGGACTGTTTTGTCTGTCTTCTTTATTCCCCCCCTGCACCTTCCTTTCATGACTCTTTATCCCACCTTCCATTCAAAGTTCAAACTAAAATCTCAAAAGTAATACAAAAAATATATGTATGTATAGCTGAAGGGAAGATTTTTTCAAAACCCATTTGGGTTGCCCATTTTAATTTAAAGCTTTCTTGTTAAAGAATTGGGATTGATCAGATTTTGTCCTCAGATACGTCAGACCGAGCAAGAAGGTAAATTTATTCATATTTGTATAAGATTTCGTTCTATGGTTCTTTTGCCCTTGTTCAGGTCCAATTGTTTTGATAGATTTCTCGATGGCTGAGAATTTTGATGTTATTTTGTGATTTCGTGATTGGGTTTTCGTTTTTCGAGGATATAAACCCATAAGGAAAAATTGCTAGTTAGGGTTCATTGGTCTTTTTTTGATTTTGATATGGGGTACTTCCAGTTGGGAATTTCTTGATTGAACTCTTAAAAAGTTTCGGCTTTATTTGTTTCTTCGAAATGAGTTATTGGGGACTCGGTAGCTGAAGTTCAAATTAGCAAACTTTTTATGCAAAATCCTTGCGTCTCCTTCGTTGACTTATCAATTATGCTATACATTATGATAAGATGAAAATCTGAACTCGTCCGTGTGTCTGATTGGTGATTGTCATCAAACCTGAGATTTTTTCCTGTTAAAATTCTTGGCAGCTTAGGATAGTTCTTCTGAAAAATTAGTAATGGATAGGGAATGCCCTTGTCTAATGTTCTTGACAGTCTAAAATATCCTCTAACATGATTCATGAATTTATGTGCAACAACTACATATCCGTAATCGTCCTCCATAGTACTATGGCTGCTTGATTTGGGGACTACCTATACTTAGTGACATTTTTCTATCATAAATGTGCTCTCTTTTGATCTGGTTTCTGAAGCCTGCCAAAATATTTGATAGTGCACACACTTAAAAGTTGTGTGAAAAAGCAGCAGAAATGTATGTAATTGAAGAAAATAGACATGGAGTCTATGAAGTACTTTTCCGACTTATGTCTGATTAAGGCATGTTTCATACCCAGATAGTGGTTTTTTATGTGGTAGAAACTAGATTAAGACGAGAATCGAATGTAGCCCAGTGGTTTGGTGGTAGGGCTCTCTCGCTTGTGGTTGCGAGTTCGATTCTCACCGGGCGCGGGGGTAGGGTATTTAGGATGGGTTGGTGGGGGAGGGGTATAATGGGTAGATTAGGTAGTCAAAAAAAAAAAAAAAAAAACTAGATTAAGACAATAAACAAACATAATGGAAAATCAATTTGGCTTTATGATCGGAAGATCAACGATTGACTGTGAATATATTGATCACTCGTTACATATTTTCATATTTACTATTTTGGGTTACGTTATGCAGGTGAGAACTCTTCGCTTGTTGCTATTGTCTGATTTGGCAAGGTTCATGGCAGTTTATTCTGTAAAGAGAGAAGGGAAATTGTGGTTAAGATTTTATTCTGCTCTGCTCATCAAATGAGTTGAAGGCAGTCATGGCAAGATTTCAATAACTTAGTATAATCTTGGAGTCTGGACGTGGCGGGATAATTGTACGGGATAATTGTATTACAATATTAGTTTATTTGAATAGAATGGCCCGGAGATCCAGAGCTGTGCTGTTAGTTGTGGTATTTATATCTGTGTTTGGTAGTCTTGTTTCATCAGAGTTGGAAGAAACTTCACATAGGGTTAGAACTTCACCATTGAGAAATGCAGATACTAGCGTCATTGATGGCTCAGGCATGGAGCACACAATTTATTCTGATAAAGCTAATGTCAGATCAGGGGAGTGGAAGGGGGCAAGCAGTAGAGTTTCGGTGTCCACAGTGGCCATCTTTACGCTGGCAATGGCTGCTGCCACTGGCTTGGGTGCTGTGCCCTTCTTCTTTGTTGAACTTGATTCTCAGTGGTCTGGAATTTGTAATGGAATGGCAGCCGGTGTGATGTTGGCTGCCAGTTTTGATCTTATTCAGGAAGGACAAGACCACGGGAGTGGCAGTTGGGTTGTGTTTGGTATTTTGGCTGGTGGCATTTTCATTAGGCTTTGTAAGAAGGTGACTTTCTTTCCCCCTACATTTTGGAATTCTGATCTGTTCTTACTGATGCATGTTGTTGGATATGTGCTTTGGTTTGTAAAATTAGTTATGTGATTAGTAATTGATATAAATTTTTCTTTGCTTATGTTCCCATGAACTTTTTATACAATGTTCAAGTAATGTTAAATTTATTGAGCTTGGTTTCCTGTATTTGTTATGCACTAGAGGTTATCCATTGTTTCTTGTAGATAGCACTGATCCTTTTCTCCACGATCCTTAATTTCTTAATTTTGGCGCTTGTTATCACAATTTAGTTTTAAATGTTGGTATAAAAAATTTCAGGTACTTGATAACTTAAAGTTTCAGATGTTTCTGCTGTAGATTTTGTAGAAATTTGAGTAATTATATTCATGTTAGGTCAAATTGTAATGAATGGAGACTGTAGTGACACATTATTAGGGTTGTGACTTTTGAATGGAACTTCAGATTAGACATTTACATTTTCTTTTCTAAATCTTGAAATCCCACAAGTTGATCTTAAATGGCATGGAAATTGTAGGTTTGAGCTAGACCGGATTGTTAGTGGTAATTGTAGGTTTGGATTCTCATAATGTATCTTTTGAGTTCGCTTTTGGTGGTTGGCCATTTGCTCTGAGTCAGTATGTCATATTCACATGATCTGACATTAGGAAGTGTTCTGTTGCTTTTGTTTTTGCATTAAATGCTAAGTTAGTGTTCTCTTGTTTGCTGGTTTAGAGGATGCCTGTTATTGACTTCTGCATTTGTTAGTTATATTTAATATGTTTAGCGCAAACCCCCCACCCCGGGCTATTGCAATATCTGGTGCTTGAGGTGTCATATTGCGGATTTGACATATGCTAGCTAATTTCAGCAACCATGTGATGATTATTATTATTATGATGATGAAGATGTTGTAGAACTTACGAAAATGTTTTAAATACTATTGTTCATTGTGGAAAACCTTAACCATAAATGAACATAAGATCCGGGGCCTCTACATTCATGGGCAATTTGGTTTAAGTTTTTGATGCCCAGTATTAACAAAAAGTCTACTCTAGTTTAATGGTGTGAACTTCCTCAAGATAAAAGAAGATAGACGTTTAATGTTCTAAGATGTAAGCATCTTCTGTTGTTAGCTTACTCAGTGGTTACACCTTGTTTTGGAGCCCCCTCTACCTCTTCTTCGAGCTTGTGGAGAATATAGGCATTATGTTTTTTTTTTCGTATGTAATTAATTCGGTACCTGGTTTCTGTCTTAAAAATCAGCTTCTTGAGCACTATGGTGAAGTGAGTATGTTGGACATTAAGGGAGCAGATGCAGCTAAAGTTATTCTTGTTGTTGGAATCATGACTCTTCATTCTTTTGGAGAAGGCTCTGGCGTTGGAGTTTCTTTTGCTGGATCCAAAGGCATATCACAGGGGATTTTGGTTACTTTAGCAATTGCAGTGCACAACATTCCAGAGGGTTTGGCTGTCAGTATGGTGCTTGTATCACGAGGTGTCTCCCCTCAGAAAGCTTTTATATGGAGTGTTATTACATCCCTACCTCAGGTATATATTCAGTGGTTACGGTTTGCTTGTTTATCGTGCCTAAGATGTTACTCTGGATTAGCAAGCATAGTGATGGGGAACAGGGGCTGAATTGAAAATAGACGGAGTAGGCAAAACCTAGCTTTAGGGATTTTGGAAAGACAGAGTCTTTGAAAGCTGGAAAGCTTAAATTTTATAAATCAGATAAAAGAACATGAAAACAAAGGCTGCAGAACTTCTCTATTTATAGAGAGATTCTGAGAGTAATCCTAACCCTAATAAGGCTTGCTAATTTCCTAAAACTTAGGACTAAAATTAACGTCAAATAAAATAATTAATTAAAAGGAAATTACTTAAACTAATAATTTATTACTAAGGCTATCTCTGAAATCTTCCTGGATCACATAGACATCCTGTTACCTTTCTGGATATAACACCTATATTCCTGTTAATATGTTGACTTGCAATTATAGTGTTTCAGTGCATGATTTTTTATTTTTTATTTTTGAATTATTTTTCATAGAAGTTCTAACTATTATCTTCTTCCAGCCCATTGTAGCAGTGCCGTCATTTATGTGTGCTGATGCCTTTCACAAATTTTTGCCATTTGCAACTGGCTTTGCTGCTGGGTGCATGATCTGGATGGTTGTAGCAGAAGTGCTACCAGATGGTCTGAAGGTGACTTTATTTGTCCTTATATTTACTTGTCTCTTCCTTGTGCTCTGGTTTTCCTTTCTATTTATTTCATTCCTTTTTGCGGTTGGGACTCAGGAGTTGCTCTGGAAAGGCATGAGTGTTAGGTTGTAATTTGATGATTCTGACCACAGACAAAGAACAGTTCTGCTTTAGTATCACAGTTTGAGGGTAGGATGATGATCCTAAGCTGGATCAATCTAGGGTCACATCGGGATCGGAACATATATGCGTTAGATTTATAATGCTATGTACTTTGGAGTTTGGACTGCACATTACAAATGAATGGGAAAAGAATGATTATAAAATAACATTTTCTGTCAATAAATTGATAAGAAAAATCACTACATGCGCGACATTGAGCTTTGTTATCGTCTTACCTGTAGCATTACAAATCACAGTTAAAGTTTACTCTTCTGTGAACTTGTTTACATTCAGTCTAACGTTTATTTTTCAATTTTTGTCGCATAAAATGGTGTCCAACTAAATTGTTTGGACGGCCTAATCAAACATTATCCAGTTTTTGCTAATTGAACTGATTTAGAATCAGTTCCAGCTTTGCTGGGAGATCATTAAAAAATAAATTCATGCTTACAGAATACCAGTCTGGAACAACTTGGGTTGCTTGTAATTGCTTACATCAAGCAAAAGAACAACTTTTTGCTGGAGGAAAGAATTTGCCAGTAAGACTCATCTATAAAATAAGCAAAAATTTAGTGACACCTCCATAGTAGTTTTCAACGAAAAAGGAAAGGAATTATTTTCAAATAAGTGGGAGCTTTGAATTATTTGCATGTTAGACAATGACTTAATACATAGCAGCATATTTGTTTGTCACTTTTACATCATGTAATTGTGCATCAAATTTTGTGGGACATGCTTCCATTGTCAAACACTTGAAAATTTAGTGGATGTTGATTTGCTGGTACTCATAAATCATTCTGCCTGGTGGATTTATGAGCTTAAGAACATGAAAAAAGTAAATTTTTCAATTTCAGTAGTTGAGCATCAAACCAGCAATTTACCAGTGTAAAAGCAGTGGGATAGTTGTGATTGGTTTGATTTCCATTCTGGTACTACTTCGGAAAAACAGTGTTTTAGTATTTGGGATCAATTATGTTGATCTGGATGGTGGAATTGTGCACTCGAACAGTTAGGATTGTTGTTTTGATGAATCCATTTCAAGGCTTTGCCGCAGAAAAGTTAATTAATGTTATGTATCTCGCGCTTTTTCTTTCTTCCATCTGTAAGAATCTACTCTTATTCTAAATCTCATTTTCTTTTGAAATTCAGGAGGCAGCGCCATCTCATGTTGCAACAGCAGCTACATTATCAGTAGTTTTCATGGTTGGTCTAGGTGCTATGTTCCAGAATTTCAGCAATTTCAGGTGATATTTTGTGGATGTGTACCATATCAGAATGTTGAACTGTGGTTTTAGTCAAAAGTTGATTCGTCTTACTATGGTGTAACACCCTGAAAATCTGTAAATCATTTTATGCCTTGATATTTACCCTCGGTTCTACCTTGTTCTGATTTAAACTACAAAAGAGAGTTTAGTAACTTTTTCCATATTTCACATGACTGTTTGATCCTGATCCCTGCACATGCCCAAGGGTTATCTTCCGACTTCATAGCTTATGATAGCATCATTGTTTCCCCTAAAAATCTGGTTTGCCCTTCTTTTGTCTAGTTTAAAGAAAACATCATACATCTTTTAGTTTGGGAGGCAAAATTTTAGCAGACAGAAAAAAGACACTAACTGTTGAAGACATAATTTTTGAGTACCACTTGTGAGGGATGCACAATTGCATGAGCATCATCATGAAAGTCAGCCCAATAATCAGGCCTGAATAATTCTTTCCATGCTTCTGTTTCATTTTACAGATCTTATGCAATAAATGAAGGTGCTTTGTTGTAGTTAGCAATTTCAGAAATTTTTTATTTTTCTTGTCACATTGTGCTTCAAATGTTAATGTAGTTACTTTCCGCAGCTCTGAGGATGCCTCTGGCTTGTTTGTTTCCTTACTCTTCGGTCTTGGCCCATTGCTTGGTGGAGTTGCTCTTGTTGCATTTGCTATTGCTTTTCGCCTTCAGCATGCTCTCCTCACTGGAGTAGCCTCTGGTGTTGCATTTGTTCTCGGTGCTTGGCGACCACTGCAGCTGGTTCTTTCCTCCAAGATGGGCTTTTTCCCCCTGGTGGTGCTGCTGCTGGTGGGTTCTGCATTGGTCCATTTCTCTGTTTCTACTACTATAAATTTTCGACCCAAGCGCACTTCAGCGGATACATTGCCATCTCTTACCGGCTCGCAACTGAGTGCTCTTACCCTTCAAGCAATCTTGTGTTGTGTTGCTGTTGCGATTCATTCTCTGGCCGAGGGGCTTGCTCTAGGTGTTGCTGCACCTAAAGCCTATGGCTTTGGTCGGCATATGGTCCTTCCTGTCTCCTTACATGGGATCCCTCGTGGTGCTGCTGTAGCTAGCTGCATTTTCGGCGCAACTGACAGCTGGCATGGATCCCTTCTTGCCGCTATCCTTCTTGGTTTTGTCGGTCCAATGTCTGCAATTGGAGCCATACTCAGTGGCATCGACTACAGTGGTTTGGATCACTTAATGGTGATGGCATGCGGAGGATTGCTTCCGTGCTTCGGGAGCATTGTAAAGAGAGCGATGAAACTAGATAGAAAGAAGACTATATCTGGTTTGGTAATGGGGATAGTATCAGCCAGTATCTGCCTAACTTGTACCAAGTTGGTGTGTTTGCACACACCTTATTGCAACTCTGCTCCAGAGGCTGTCAGATAAGATCACTGCTGAGAGAACCATTGTACAGGAAAAAAGATGTAACCGATGCTAAATGAGAGTAGTTACCAATATGAGAATTAAGGCTATTGAGCAGATTTTGTAGCTGAAATTGATAATTGCACATATCAAAATTCATAATTAATTTGCCCTTCTTGAACCACCTCAAGTATTCTGGTTGTTCTGGGTGTACCACATACTATAATCCTGCAACTTCTTTATCTGAAAATGAGTCTTAGAGGAAATTTTATTTGTATGGATTCCAACTTCCAAGTTCTACCAAATCGTTCTCTTTGGTAACATGTCATCAGTTTGGGAAAGAATCAATGCTGTTCATACAAGTTTATGTTAAAATGTCAATAAAAATGTCATTGAACTATTTGTAATTTCAATACAAGTCATTAATTAAATTTGTTTGTAAAACAGATCACTATACTAAACAAAAAATTCATCCGAAATCATTCTGTTAATTTTGACAGTTAAATAGTGACGGGAATCTATTTTTCACATTCTTTTGGGTTCAAGGGTATTTTTGTCATTTCAGTATTTTTACATTTTTAATGTTTTCTTAAAATTTTTTTTTACAATTTTTCTTTTTATACTTCCTAACTTGTATATGTTCGTAGTATAATTTCTAAATTCCAAAATTAATTTAACTTGTGTATTTTAACTTCTGGATTATAAAAATATTTTAAAAAATTTAAGAAATGAAGAAGAAAAATTCGAGTTGAATTAAATAAGAAAATTAATAGCTTACCATTTTAAACCAAATGATACAAATGATTATAAAAAATTAATTTTTCATGTTAACTTCAAATGATACAAATGATTATAAAAAATTAATTTTTGAAATTTTCATGTTAACTTCAAAAATTAATTTATCATTTGTATCTTAACTTCTAGATTATAAAATAATGAAGAAAAAAATAAAGAAGAAAAATCCAAATTGAAGTAAACGTGAAAATTAATAATTAAATGATTGAATTGAGTTGAAAATAGTTAAATAACCTAGAAGAAACAACTTTTTTTTTTAAACCAGGCGGATACTTTGGAAATTTATAGATAACCAGAAATATTTTTCAGGCAGTGCTTAAGACCTAGAAGAAATAATTTGTCTTAGCTAATTTTTTTAGTTTTTTTTTTCATTTAAAATGATAAACTATTAATTTTCATGTTTACTTCAACTCGAATTTTTCTTCTTCATTTTTCTATTTTTTTACAAAAAATTTATAATGTAGAAGTTAAAATACAAAAGTTAAATTAATTTTTAAAATTTAGAAATTATACTACCAGTACCAGCATATACAAATTAGGAAGTATAAGAAGAAGAATTGTAAAAAAAAAAAAATTAAATTTTTTTAAATAAAAATTTTAAAATAACAAAATGACAAAAATACTCCTGAACCCAAAAGCATGTGAAAAATGGATTTCCATTACTATTTAACAGTCAAAATTAACAGAATGATCTTGGATGAATTTTTTGCTTAGTATGGTGACCTAGTTTACAAATAAATTTGATTAGTAATCTATATTGAAATTACCAAATAGTTCAATGACTTTTTTTGTGGTTCACTCTTTTTTTTATATACCATGGAAAATAGTTTGATGGCGAATCTAAAAATGCACGAACTTCTTTTGAGTAAACACATACTTGGAGTCTTTCTCACCATCCTAGTATCTTTTTCTCCATTTCTATAGATTGTCTTGTTAACCTAACTCCCTTTGAGTAAACAAATACTTGGAATCTTTCTCACTGTCCGAATATCTTTTTCTTCATCAATGTTGTTAAGCTCGGCTCGGACCGGCCTGTCGAACCGAGTTAATCTGGAATCAGACCCCAAATCGAGCCGAGCAGGTAGTAAAATCGCCTATCTGAGACTTGGTCAAAATCGGTCAAAAATCCGGTTGAACCCAGAATCGGTCAAAATAGGATCGAACCGAGTTTTGACCTTTTGGGTTGATTTTCAAAATTTTTTAAATTTTCACTATTTTTGAGGTCTATTCAATTCTGATTTTTTTACTTTTAGTCCCCAATTAGATCTTCTATGTTTCTAATGACCCATAACTTGTGTATTTGTGAGATCAAACTCTTAAATTCAAATTTATAAGTCTAAATATTTATTTTAACCATCCAAGCTACATCCTACACACTAAATTGAGTAAAAATCATTATTTGAGATTAAAGTAAAATAGTACGGACTAAATAAATAAATCAATATTTATCATTTTAAACTAAAGCAAACAAAAAATTATAACCATATTAATTGAGTAAACATACAATAAAAATTTTTAATGATAAAAGTCAATTGTGCATCAAATTTATTAATTTTTTAATCATAATTAAAGTTAATTAAACTAATCGTATATGTAATGTCATAATTGTGTTCCATAAAAAAAATGATTTGAGAACTCTGAAGCACTAATTTGACTAGAATAATTGACAAATCTATATAAAATTTTATTAAAAATATAATTTTTAATTTAATAATATTTATTACGTAATTATGAGGTCATCCGAGTCGACCCCCGATTCGCTCGACCACTAACTAATGCCGAGTCGAGTTCCGGGCCGAATCTGACAACACTGTTCTTTATTTCATAGATTGTCTTGTTAACCTAACGCCGAATCTACACATGTAAGAGCCCTCTTAAAAGGGACACACTTAAAGTCTTTTTTACACTTTCAGTGCCTTATTCTCCTTTTTCACAGTCGATACTCTATATAACACTACTATACAAAATTTGTGTTAATGATAAATATGGATGAGTGGCACAATAAGTTGGAGAAATAAATCAAAGAATTTGATTAACAAGAAAGTATGGATTAGAAACAGATGTGATGATTGATGAACATCACAACTTTATGACAGTATCAATGGTCTCCCAAGGGTAAAAACCATGCATGCCCAACTTATTATTACCACAAAAATATGATTGCTTTCTTGGTTGACTTAGCTACAGAAGTTGCCTTGGGAGTCGAACGGGCGCGCCAATGGAGTCCACTGATTGAGAACCCAAGTAGTTTTTTCGAAGATAGAAATCAAGAATGCCATTCATGAGGTTCATTTCTGGCACCGAGAAGGTATCTACTTCGTGTCCTCAGTAATAATCAGAAAAAACCTTATTACAGAGCATTCTGTCAATCCGTCCTCGACCAAAAAAAAAAAAAAGTTTTGTTTGTTAAGCTAAAATAGTTCAACGAATTGCGTGTTACTGTATCTTAAATCCATGAAAATAATGTCGCATTCTACATACGAATTCCGGAAGGCCAATTTTATGTTAGGATTCATTGATTGATTGATCCTCTAGAGAATGTGCCTTGTTGAATTGAATGTGATGTTATCAGAGTTATTCAAAGTCGAAGAATGTTATCTCAAGTTGTTTGGTATATCGACCTTTCTTAATATACGGACCCAAAAAATGGAAACAATGAAATTAAAGATCTCTCGTCTTAGATTATATATATTTTGTATACTTTGTATTGCTGACAGTTAAAGTCGAAATTCAACTTTGAAATGTACTTAAGAGACATTTATTTAAGTATGTTGTATATATAGATTATCGGTAGTATTAGTGTATGTAATGCCTAATAAAACCGTTCTGTGATTTTGTAGTTTTTTTTGTTTAGGAAGTCATTCATTATTTCCAGGGAAAATTTAGCTAAATGACAGTAGAACAAGTTAAATTAATAAAAGAGGTGCGACTTTAAAATATTTTGTATGAAGGGTAATAACTTATTTGTTAAAAATCATAAAACAAAAAATACTTTGAATTAACAATACAACCCTTATGAAGTATGTAATTTCTTACACAAACAAAAATAATAATAATAGTAAAACAAAAGCCATGTTCTTCTGCTAAACTACTGCTCCATCAGCTCTATTTCTGCTACTCTCGAAGCCATCAAGAAACCTTCAACAAGAATCAATTCTCCTTAAAAAAAAATTTTCTTCCACTCAATGGAGCAAAAACCCTTTTTCTACGCCTTCTTCTTCTCCTCTCACCATCTTGGTCAAATCTCACAGTTTCTGATCAAATAAATTAATTTCCACTAATCATGTACAATAAAAACGAAAGATATACCGTCATTAGAGAGATGTCCAGGCATATAGTTTTCTGTGAAAGCTTTGATGGAGGTTGCTTAATCAACAAAGTATTCAACATTGATTGAGGACCATCCACATAATCCCCTCTGTGGCTCTGTAAACCACAATTTCACCATTTGAATCAAGAAAACTTTTTGCGCCAAAATAGATTGCTAGCACTATATCTTAATATTATTTGTTGGATCGAAGCATTAAGCAACAATGGATAAAAAGGATTATTAATTAAAACAGTAACGAGAGTTCCTCCATTGTCTGAATTCCTTTTCGCATTGATTTCTTTTATTTCCCTTCCCTCTGCGGCTCTAAGGGATCTTTAGGAGATTGATTTTTGTGTATTTTATGAGTTGTTGAAAGGGTAATAAAAAATTAATGGCAACTATGTAATTATAAAATTAAATTGATTTTGTAATTTTTAATCCCTCCGTCTCATAATTATTGTCCAGTTTGGATTTTCATTTCTAGTTCAAATTGTATTAAAAGTGAAATTTTAAACTGTATAATAATTTTGGGACAGAAGGAGTAACAAATAAATTATCACCCTTCATAAAGAATATTTTAAAGTCATACCCCTTTTATTAATTTGACATGTTCTACCGCCCTTTAATCAAATTTTTCCTTTTTTCTAATGGTACAGATTAAGTAGGAAAAAATTTTCACTTCACCTATATGTGATTTCCCTTGTGGTTCATCCATTCAGTCTGATTGGGATTATTTTGTCCCGGTGCAAGCTCTCTACTTTTCCATGAAAAATGTTGCCTTCATGTTCCAGAAAGTCTTTGAGAAATCTGCAAAAATTGAATTGAGACATTTTGATTATCATTTTGTCCACTCATACCATCATTTTCATTTTTTGTTGTTTTAGTTAATACTACTAATCTATTTTGTTCAATTGAAACAGTATACTAATTGATGTAAACTTTCAAAATTGGACGAAAGGAGTACTTGTTTTATTTTCTGAAATTTTATCAAAAAAAAAATGAAAATGACTAATAAAAACTTAAAAAACACCATATGTTTCAATTAATTGTGTAAAACCTTATAAGTTTTTGTTTCAAGTTTCGCTAATTCTGTCAGTACTAAAACATCGAGAACAACTATAGCTAAATAGAATAGTTTTACACTTTTACTAGCTAATAATTGAAATCGATCGATTTACTATTTGAATGTGACTATAAGATGGCTAAACCATACATACAACATCGTCTTACAACTGTTGAAAATCCTATAATTGAGGTGTTAGACTTTGATGA